TTTTTGTGTTGTTTTTTGTGCTAATTGGTTTTAACTCCTCCCAACAGGAAGAGATAGTAATGAAATGGAAAGGAAAGGAAAAGAAGTGGAAGTAACGAAAAAAGAAGTAATTTGAAATTTTTAATTTTTGTATTGCACGTGATTGGAAATTTTTGATGAATTCATAACAATACATTTGATTACACTACTAACTCAAAAACTAGTTTTTTAACGAGTTTAATACGAGTTTAGAAAAATAAATAATTTTTTGTTGAAAAAATTGCCTAAAAAGAATCAAAATTTACGAAGGATTGGGTGATCAAAATACATCCACGTTTGGTATAGATAAAATTTAAAATCAACAATTAATTTTAATTATATATTTTAGGGGACACATAAAAATAAATTTTAATCTCAACCAAACAGGGGCTATATTGTGTCGATTCACGTCGCCTTTTGGAAAAGATGCTAAAAATATTCGGAAATGAGATTTTTGACGGGATACAAGTTTTTTTTTTTTTTTTTTTGAATTCTAATTTTTATCTATTATATTACATTTTAACTAGCATTCTTGATTTCAAACTTTTATTGATTTATTAGAATGTTAAGTCTCTAATAACAATTTTCATTATAAAAAAAATGGGTTTTTTGAGAGGACACAAAACAACTTATTTGTTCATGATACTTTTAAAAATTAATAAAGAGAAAATTGAGATAACTTTCTCTCATTTCGAAATACTTAAAAGCAAAATTGTCTATTTAATAGTAAATTAGACGATTCCGAGAAAAATAGTTTGTTGGACTGACTTGCTAATGAGTATCCACATTGAGGACTAACTTTGCAGTTTTCCTTTTAAATTAATTAAAAGTATCTTCGTCTTTCTCTGTCTCCATTTAAAAAAATATTAAAATAGCCTTGAAGTAATTATCTATTTTATTCCCTTGATGGATACAGATGCACCTCTCTTACACTTCACTTCACTTCACTTCACCTCTCCTCACTTTCCCTCACTTCACGTCACTTCACTTCACTTCACTTCAATTGAATTGGTTTTAATTTTTTTTGGATTGGGCTTCACTCCTTTTGGGCTGAAAATTAGCCCATTACTTAAAAAAAAAATTATTTGGGGATGGGGTTGAATATAAATTTTGGCTCAAAAAAGAGAGAATTTTATGCAGTTAAACTTAAATTGCACAGCACTTATATAATACGCATTTCGCACGTGTACGTACGTGATCATCAAAGGTGGAGGTACACCCCTTTCATTTAGTCTCGCTCCGATACACGTAGGGTTGAATATACAAATTGGAAACAAAGCATGAAAGATTCATCTGAAAAGAATTGTCTTCAATTGGAGAATTAGATGAAATAAAATATAAATAGTCAAGGATCAAATAGTTCAGATCTAACTGAGTATATTACTAATGACTTGAGAATCCTTTAAATAATCAGCTATAACCTAAACAAAACATTGACTTATTTGTTGTAGATTGTTTGAATGGACTTAAGATTAAAATATGAAAATTGGTA